CAAGGTGGGTCCTAGGACCCACCTAATTATCTTAATTGCAAGCCTAATTATATTGCAAAAATTTAGGGGAACTATCTTCAATTTTTTGAAGGAACTACCTAATAATTTTTTACAAAAACAAAAATAGCATAATGCCTAAACAAACTTATTATTTATCCAACAAAAATTAGTCCAATCCATTAAAATTAAAATTAAACAAAACTAATAATAATAAACAAAAGCCCACAATTGAATCGTCGCCAACACTTTTGGCTTTTGCGCGTACGTGTTGCACGTTGATTCTCACTACAAGGAAAACGATCATTAGCGGCGACAAAAGTCGCCGGTAATAAGTCAAGTTGTCGCCAATAATAGTAATAGTGGCGACGCGTCGCCGGTAATAAGTCGCCGCTACTACTTTGTCGCTATTGATGAACTTGTCGCCGCTAATGATAGATGTTGCCGCTAATGAACGTATCGCCGCTAATGATAGGTGTCGCCGCTAATGACCATGTCGCCGGTAATGACCATGTCGCCGGTAATAACTCTGTCGTCGGTAGTTACAATTTTCATTTTTTTAATTTTATTTTTTTGTAATTAACGATTTTGGTTGCCGGTAATAATGTACTCGGTAATTACATAACAAGATTCGATTAAATATCAAAAATAATAGTGTCGATGCTAATTACAAAACAAACATCTGATAATAATTAATTAAATATCAAAAGTCATAATATCCGATTAAATATAAAAAGTAATAATGTCGTCCGGTATTAGTGTCGCCGGTAATTACTAAAAACAACCAAAGTTTTACAATCTACCAAGTAACAAAGCGTGACAGCATATGCAAATAAAACTCATCCTGGCCTACATACCATCATCTTCGTTCCCATCGTTTCCTCGATTTATTTTGGGATTGAAAAAACGAATACAGCTCATCCCTACATGCTGGGTCATTCAGCATTGCACGGAGATTTTCCAATTACATAATTAATAACAACATATATAAACTTATAAGTTAAATTATCAAACATAAACAAAAACTATCAAAATACATAGTTATTTTTAAACTAAGACAAAAAACCAAAGTACGTTGTTATTTTTTGCCCTTGGGACAAAAACCGAATTACCAAACTTTTTAGCAAATAATCACTACAAAACCAAAATTACCAAATCAACATGCATTTTACGATGCTAAAGTAGATTGCTATTTTTAAACTAAGACAAAAAACCAAAGTATGTTGTTATTTTTTGCACGTGGGACAAAAACCTAATTACCAAACATTTTAGCAAATAATCATCACAAAACCAAAATTACCAAATCAACATGCATTGTTTCGATATGGATTAGTAGTCCAACTTTTATCAATAGACATGATGTTGCTGAAACATAATTTTGGGTTTAGAGTTTAGTATATAGAATTAGCATTGTTTTTTTTTTCAATCTACGTTTTTTTACAATTAAAAAAATAAAAAATTTTAAATTTTAAATTAAAAAATTTAGCAATTAGTATATCCATAAAAAAAACATTTCTTACTATTGTATCTTATTATATTTTTTTATTTATAACATTTTTTTTCAATTATAGCATTGTACTTTAAACAATTATATTATGTTGTTGTGTTGTTCATTTTTACCGTCAAGATTAAAAAATATTTTTTTATAACATTGTATAAATATGTTGCAAGATTATAAGTTAACTTGAAGATTATAAATTAACTATAGAACTTATTGGTTAACTTGGGGTTAGTTTGGGAACAAACTAAAAATTTCTAGTATTCGTATATAAGTTTTTTAAACAATTTTATAACATTTTTTTGTGTTTTTTTTTCCAATTATAACAATAATTTTTTTTTCAATTATAGCATCCTACTTATACCAAAACCACATACTTTTTCACATAATACACAAGAGCATGAAAATTCACATACTTTCACATACATATACCACATATACACCAAATACAAATGCATTCACATACACACAAAATAACATCCTACTTAAACCAAATAAACATACTTTCACATATATAGATAATAACAT